ACTTAAATCATATGCTTCAGTTAACACAGAAGATTACACTCCCCGATAAATGCTGACTAAAACACTACAGTTGGTAGAACAATTTTAAGCTTAAACTTTAGTTACGTAGAAAATATGAACTCCTCATTCCTTGAATATGCTGGAAAAATGGGGTGTGAGTGTAATTTGAAACATTATTCAAGGACTGGGTGTGCTGGGCTCACTCCTGTGATCCTAGCACTCTGGGAGGCCGAGGTGAGTGGACTGCTTGAGCTCACCCATTGGAGACCAGCCTGAGCTAGAGTGAGACCATGTCTCTAAAAATAGCCAGGTGTTGTGGTAGGTGCCTATAATCTCAACACTCGGAGGCGAGGCAACAGAATCTCTTGTACCCAAGAGTTTGAGGTTGCTGTGAGCTTTGATGCCAGAGCGCTCTACTGAGGGTGACAAAGTAAGACCCTTGCCCTACTCCTCCAAATAAAGAAAGAAATCTTATTCAAGTTCTGAAATAATATCTTAACCTATAAAACATTAAGACTATGTATAAAGTACTTTAATGGTAAAATCATTTGTTTCCACTTAACTCATCACATTATCTCCTTAAATCTCTGTTGTTTGTCCTTTCTATCCATAAACTGCAAAATTATGACTTTGTGTGGAAAGTTTCTCTTAAAGTATTTATTTGAAAGTTTGGCACAGGCTTGGCGCCTGTGGCTCAAGTGGCTAAGGCACCAGCCACATACACCTAAGGTGGTGGGTTCGAATCCAGCCTGGGCTCGCCAAATAACGATGGCTGCAACCAAAAAATAGCCAGGCGCTGTGGTGGGTGCCTGTGGTCCCAGCTACTTGGGAGGCTGAGGCAGGAGACTCGTTTGAGCCCAGGAGTTGGAGGCTGCTGTGAGCTTTGATGCTATGGCACTCTACCCAGGGGGACAGCTTGAGGCTCTGTCTCAAAAAAAAGAAAGTTTGGCACAAATGTTACAAAGTCTGACAATTAGGTTCGCAAAGTTGCCCCACTGTGCACAGTGTCTTGGCAGCACTGTACAAACAACTCGGTATAGTTTCATAAACTTTGCAAATTAGTATCTCACAGTTGTGTTCACATCAACACTGAGTGGCATTCATTGTTGTTGCTTATTTTTGTTCTGTTGCAAAAATGTCAAGAGCTTGAATTAGAGCAACAAACAAGCCTTCATAAATTCCTTGCTAAACTTGGTAAGAGTGGATGTGACGTCAAGGACATATTAGTCCAAGTTTATGGGGATAATGCCATGAAGAAAATAGCAGTGTACAAATGAATTAAATGTTTCTCTGAGAGGAGAGAAAGCATCACTGATAAAGAGAGGTCACGGTAGCCAGTAATGAGCAGAACTAACAAAAACACTGAAAAAATTTGAATTGTGTATCAAAATTGTTGGAAAATCTTAACTAAAAATCTTGGCCAAAAACTCATGGCTCTTGCATCATGACAATGCACCAGCTCACACAGCATTGTCTATGAGGGAGTTCTTAACTAGTAAACAAATAACTGTATCAAACACCCTCCCTACTCACCTGATCTGGTGACTTTTTTCTTTACCCAAAGATAAAGGAATTATTGAAAGGAAAACATTTTGATGACAATCAGGTTAGCAAGGGTAATATAATGACGGCTTTGATGGCCATCCCAGAAAAAAGAGTTTCAAAATTGCTTTCAAGAGTGGACTAGGCACTGATGTTGCTGCATAGCTTCCTAAGGGGTGATGGTAGATGAAGGTGACCATAGTGATATTCAAGAATGAAGTATGTACCACTTTCTCTAGGATGAGTTCACCAGACTTTGTATTTTAAAATGTTTTTGCCTATATATTTTAATAATTGGCTCATAAGACATTGTTAATCCACAGAAAGAGAACCTACATTTTAATTCTCTGACAATAGAACTAAATCAAAGGAACATATAACCTTTTCTATAAACTATGCAACTTAAAAAGGAGAAAAACATGATCAATAAATGCAAGTCTAAAAAATCTAACAGACTTTAACATTTTAATTTTTGAAAGTTCTAAAAGATAGAGAATATGCAGGGAAAATACTAGTTGGTGCTCGGTGCCAGAGTCAGTGCTGAGTGTGGAAGATTAAGAGTGAGTCCTCAGATGACCTACTTTCTCTCCACCACAATCTGTGAAAAACATGACATAATAGGACTTATTTGCTGAAATAAGTACCATACATGTATTTTTAGTCTACAATATATAAGTGTTCACTAGAAAAAAATTGATGAAATAGCCACATATACCTACACAATCACAATGAACCAAAGTTTAATTCAGCTCTTTCCTGACTGTCCTACCTAACCAAACAGCACAATTACAACATTCAAAACAATAACAACATTGTACTTATAGAAGGCTTTAGACGTAAAGAATTGTGTTCTTATACATGTATAATAAAGCTTTAAACCTAAACCGAGAATACGTCTAAATTGTTTAAGGGGTAAGGAAAAGCATGATTGTTTAAGAATTTGTAGATAGTACATACCCTAGCATAATTTAAGGTAGTGGGTTATTTTATTTTTTTTTTTTTGCAGGGTTTGGTTTTGGAAACAGTTCAATTTTTACAGAACATCAGTAGAGACTCACAAAATGGAAGGTGCTATTCCAAATGGTTGTGTTTACAGAGAAAAATACACATGCCACATCTACCTATCACATGTGTCCACCATTTTCAGAAAAACTCAAATTCAAATATGAACATATTTTTCTTTGAAGGCCATTATTTTAGGGCTGCTATTGAAGATTACCAATGATCTAGTCCAACATTATTTTCGGGAGATATAAAACTGAAAAATGAGAAGGTTATATGACTTGTTAAGGGCACACTAGTTAAATGACAGAGCAAATTAAAAAACTCATTTGTATTTCTACTAACCCCACTTCTTCCTTACTTAAATACCAAATCATCTCTGATTTGAGATGTGACAATTTAAAAGTGAATTCATAAGACAGTGAGATACCCAGGGTTTGGTGATCCTGAAAAGTGGCATAAATGCCTAAATGCTGCTTTGTTCATTTTCCTGAACTCCAGGTGGGGCTACATAAAGTACAAATGGCATACAGTGACTTTTTTTCCAAGAAGTAAAAATCATTTAGATAAGTCAATCAAAAAGATCCCATTACTAGACATGGATAATATACACACACCGTTAGCTATCTAGACGTGAACAACATCCTTAATATTATCCATGTAAATAACTATACAAATTGAAATCTAGGCCAGAAACTGGAATATATTTTAACTATTACACTAAATCTGTGTAAACTATAACTAAAGTTGGCATATATTCATTTTTCAATAGAAAATAATTATACAAATAAAAAATAATGAAAGTATGACTAGCCCAGATAGCTGTCTACACAAATCAGTGAGATGGTACTGAAATTTCTTAAAGATAATTAAAAATGTAATTTAAACAGAGTCAAAATACAAATCCCTTTCTTCCTCAACTGTCACTGGTAGGGCAGAAATGAACAGTTCATAAGCTAAAACCAGCCAACACGAAAACAGAGAAGCAAAAGGAACTGTACCCACCACTGAATTTATTTACTTATTAAATATTTATTGAGTGTCAGATGCAATACTGTGAAGAATCTGAAAAAGATCAAGCAAAAAATACACAAGATCACTGTCCTTGTGAAGTGTAACTGAACTTTTGTGAAATACATGTACATTACCTCAAGAAGCACTATATAAGTTCAAATTACCCTCATTTTTTAAAAATTACATTTTTAAAAAAAGGTTCTTTAATATTTGGAAATTACAGTTAAGAAAATCAGCCTTGCTTATTGTTTTATTTACCTAACTTTAAAAATACTTGCCTGAATTTAAGAAAATTTAATAAAGCCTATCGGCTTCAAAAAGTTGTATCCTAAACAGCACAAATGGTAAATTAAGATTTCATATTACTTTACCAGTTAGAACTCAAAGTGTCATAATTATCAACAAGGCTGGTCTTCCTGCTAGACGAACATCTGTAATTATCCAAGTTTTAAAAAATCACTTAAAATTATTGAACGTAAGTCCTAATACAAATATGTGTGTTCCACTTAGATGGTAGACACATTTTCACACAGGAGAACCAGAAGAAAAAACCATACAGATATACATGCATGGGAAGAAAAGGTTTCATAATCATCTGATTTGTAGGGGAGTATCACTGACTAATGATTCCTGGGGTTGAAGGAACAGAGTAATTTTAAAACAACTAAATGTCTCAGAGTTGTTTTGAAGAATTGGATGCCTAGAATTTCTATTTTTCTTAATTCCTAGATATAAAACTTAAAGAAAATAATCAGAATGTTAAAAAATAGTTACCTCTGAGCACTAGGCTTATTATACATAATAATTACTCTTCTACGTTTTCTAAAGGGAATACAGTTATAGTTAAAAAACATTTAAGGATAGTTAGACTTTAGACTAAATAATTGACACGAAAACTAGGTATCCTCCACAGTCTCACTCTTAATATTATAACTGCAGAAACAGCCCTAGCACTGTAGTTTAAAAGTGGATAGCACGCACGCACACAAGGGCTGGCGTCTAGTAGGCACTTAGTTAATATCTGTGGAATAAAATCAGTGAAGCTGTATGTAAGCAAGCCAAACAACAAAATGCACTCCCATTTGGGGGCCAATAGAGTAAACACTACTTTACCTAAAGCCAGCTGGCAGTTTAGTACGCATTAAATGCAAGAGACTTTCGTCCTAGCCTTCTTTTATACCGACATTAGACTGCACACTCAAAACAAATCCTCCCCCAGCCCCGCCCCAAGCCCTAGCCTCGGCTGCCTCCAGCACTGGAAGTGATGGGAAGTCCAGGGCCTCGGCGGTGCCCAGCCCAGGGTACCTCTCCAGGGCGCTGAGCGCCCGCAGACACGCCCAACGCGGCAGACGCCGGGGGCACTGGCCGTAGTCCCCGGTTCCCCGCCCCCGCCCCCGGGATTCGCGTGCACTCCCCGAGCCCTCAGCCCTGGGCCGCCGTACCTGCACACAGTGATCAGGTTCCTCCTCTCCACCGCAGCATTGCGGGCGCTCAAGCTCTTCTTGCCGCCGCTGCTGCCGCCGCGGCCCCCGCTCAGGCCCCCCAGGCTCCGGGAGGCCATGGCGGGCTGACCCCGCGCCCCCTTTGTCTCGTGCGACCCCACAACGCCCCCACTCCTGCTTGCCTGGGCTCTCGCTCCGTACGCGACAGCGGAGGCGTTGGAACGATGTAGGGAAGGAGCGGGGAGGACCAGTGAGTGCAAGCCAGCGGGGGACTAACAACCAGGGGCTTGAAGGCTGGCCCTGGGCACCCCAGCGCCTCACACATACACAGGCGAGAACACACGCACGCACCACCTCTGCTCTCGCGCGCGCCGCCGACCACCGGGTGGCGCGTGCAGGTCGGCGTCGGGCGCTCCCCAGCTTCCCCGGGGACCTTGACAGCCCGCGCGCTCGCAAGCCGGCCGGCCCTGCACACCCAACCACCCACACTCAGCCGCCACTGGCTCCCCAGCCGGGGCCGCTGCGGAGAGGCCCCGGGCCTCGCGCGCGCAGCTCCGCCCTCTCTGCACCTCTTGGATCAACGCTGCCTCCGCTGGAGCCAATTGCGGCGCGCGAGAGGCGGGGCCGGCCGCGCGGACCTTTTAAAGCTACGCGCTCGAACACCGCCCAGACTCGTGGGCAGCTGTCAAGACGCCGGGCTCGTTCTCGCCGCCGGCGGCCACGCAGGGATTGTGGGATGCGCGGCCCCAGAGTGCCCGGAGCCGATTACCAACTCTTGCCTGGGGGCAGGCTGTAACTGCTGATCTTCAGGGTTGTGACTTCCGTTAGCTTCAGTGCGGGGAATGCCGCCGCGCCCGCGCCCGCACCGCGGCCGACCCTGGGCCAGACTACTGAGAAGGGAGGGAGGTTCCTTTTGTCTAACCCGAGGCCTAGTAAACACCTACACGATGGCCTGCAGGCGGAAATTACCTGTAGAATATCCTTCTTGGGGCGTCTGGTAGCAGGATTTCTTGACCCTCCACTCAACGACGCCCCCACTTCAGCCTCTAGCACCGCCTACAACCAGGACTGAGCGTGTAAGAACGAGCGTGCTGCCAGTGTACAGTCTTCTAGGGTTCTGGGCACTTGACCCTGGTATGGGAGGGGGAGTAGGGGAGTGGAGACAGCGGGGAATGAAGCTAGGAGCAATTCGGCTTTGGCGCCGCGGGGCTGCACCCTTAGAGAGGCCTAGAGCGCCGCCCTCCATGCCTGTGTTCCGAAGCGCCCACCTTGCACAGCTTGTCTATCAAGCCTTGGCCTTACTTGTAAGAGGGTCAGTACTTTGGCCCACGGTCTTTGGCACTCGCCTAAGCCTTCTGTTTACCTCCCTTTGCGCGGATATGCGTAGACTTAGAGTGAAATCCTTACTGACTGTTATGCTGGTGGGACCTAACAATGCCATGAATAGCATATGTAGTACAGGTCCTAAATAAATGTCCCTTGAATTTAATTGGAGTCACATTTGACATTATTTTTACTAAAATTTCACAGTTGTAGTGCCTCCAAAATCCATTTAACTTCCACGTCTGGTTTTGAAGTTTGTGTCGAAGAAACGTTATAGAATATACACTATAGTGTAGCTGTCTCTGTACTTACGTATTGTACACAGTAATACAGGAAGTAGTTACTTCATATTGAATGATTTTAAAACAGAGTTTTGTATAATAGAGCTCAGGGTAGTAATTTTTGAGATTTTTTAAATTTTAAAATGGATATTCAAAAGTATCAGGGCAAAAAAACTCATCTCAGTTACCAAGTCTAATCATAGTAGAACAAAAATCTATGTAATCTATGTGTGGGGGGGAAAGATTTGTCTTAACTATTTTACTATAATAAATATTTACTCATTAAAATTATAAGAAAATAATTTAGGCTTTAAACTCTTTCATGTTAGTAAAAGGAGGGGGCTTTTTCATATGTGTTTGTGGCTAGTCAGCACACTTGTTCCCGAGCTTTCTTTAGTGCTCTGCTCTGACAGAGAGGTTTCCCCTCCCGGGAGCTACCACTTAACTGGTGTCTTCTTGTTACCCCACGGTATTAATTCAGAAGTAGCCTTCAGGAAACAAGTACACTGCCTATGCAGGCAGTCTGAGCAAAGTATTTGCACTGGCAATAACAAATACTACTCAAATTGACATTACTAGTGTTTAAACTGTGAATTAAAATTGCACAGGAAAAAGAATGAAACGCTATTAGTTATCAAGACAATTCCCAAAATCCCTATTTGATATGTCCAAAGGGAGGGAGAGAACACACAAAACTCAGAGGCATTTATCAGAAAGACAGAAGGGAATGGTCCTGTGAGAATGAGGAAAGTAAGATATTATTTTGAATACTGGCTTTTTAGCCTCCAGTATATTGTTGTGCCATTTGTACAGTGAAGTTTGAAAATTTAGTAAAACTCCATCTTAAATGATTAATTAGGTAATTATTTTCAAACGCTACCTTTAGGAGGATTCAAATGACATATTGGTACTTAACAAGATTTTGCTGTAAGACAATCTTTTTTTTTTTTTTTTTTTTTTGCATGTACAGCATATCATTAAACAGCCACATGAGGGCCTTATTTGATAAGGATTTTTCTCACTGAGCCTGACAATGTATCCTGGGTCTTTTTCTTCCCTACTTTACTAATCTGGAGATCTGGAGATTACTATCCAGTACAAAGTATAGTGTTACTCTAGAGCCCCATGAGTTTTTACATAACATTTTAAACTTCTTTTAGCATCCATTTCAAGTCTTCATTTTATTTAGTGGAGCATTTGCACAAAGGTATAATTTTTCTTTCTTTTCACATTCAGAGACGTAAAAAGATTCACAATAAAAATTATGAAAAAAAATTAGATGCCTAATTTAACTCACAGGAATTCCAAATGGGCAGAACTTACCCATTCACCATTTTCCCAACCTTTTCCTCATCAAAAAAGACAAAATCACATGTGTAATTTGTAATTAACATTATAGAAAACTCAAATATGAAATGCTGCAAGTGAGATTTTACCAAACCAAAGTTTATGTTAGTCTCAAAGTGGACTAAGTATACTGCAAACCTAGCAGCCGTACAAAAGAGATTAGAAAAGTTGAAGGTACAATTTTTTTAAATCCACAAAACAAGTATCACCATAAGCAAAATTTAAGGAAAAATGACCAACTAAGAAAACATTCTTGAAACTTGTACAAAGAACTAACTTCTTTTGTATAAAAGTACTCCTATAGATCACTAAGCACTGTTTCAGTAGAACAAGAGTGAATCGCACAACTCTTTTATAAAGGTATTGTGAAGGAAAAGAAAAAAAAAGGTAATGGCATAGAGGAATATCGAGTAGAGGGATGTGGTGTTGTATTGCTGTTGTGTTGTTATCTTTCACAAAAGTGACTTGAGCACATTTTAAAGCTGATGTAGTAAATCTACTTTGGGGGAAAGGTTACTAATGTAAGAGAGAGAGAAAAATGATCAGAAGTGAGGGTGCAAAAATGTGACGAAAGTATTTTTAAAAATCCCATTTGAGGGTGGCACCTGTGACTCAAAGGAGTAGGATGCCAGCCCCATATGCCGGAGGTGGTGGGTTCAAACCCAGCCCTGGCCAAAAACTGCAAAAAAAAAAAAAAAGAAAGAAAAGAAAAAAATTCCATTTGAGAGTAAATCAGAGCTTTCAGGGAGAGCTTTTTGTGGAGAAAGGAAGGACCATTCAGAAGTAAAGAATGAAAAGTGGTCTTGGTCATAGAGCAAGATTTCCAGATGGCATCATGGAATGTAGTGCAGACAGGATCATGGGCAGGGAAGTACCAAACATGCTGTTTCAGAAGGGTATGGATAGTAAGGCTGGCATTCCAGGCCATAACAGACACATGGTGAAGAGTACTGTGATGGGTCCCACAAATAGTTCTTTGTAAAAATTCTTTTTTTTAAAAAATAGAGTCTCACTATGTGGCCCTTGGTAGAATGCCGTGGTGTCTCATCTCACAGTAACCTCAAACTCTTGGGCTTAAGCAATTCTCTTGCCTCAGCCTCCCAAGTAGCTGAGACTACAGGCGCCCACCACAATGCCTGGCTATTTTTTTTTTGTTGTAGTTGTTGTGTAGCAGGCCCAGGCTGGTTTTGCACCTGCCCGCCCTGGTGTATGTGGCTAGCACCGTAGCCACTGAGCTATGGGGGCTGAGCCTCTTTGTAAAAATTCTTACTCTTTGGGTAAAAACTGATCGAAACAAGGTGGAATTAGTCTTTTAGTTTCTTTGAGGGGGGCAAATACTGGCCATCTGCTCAAAGGATTTTCTTTTCTTTCTTCTTTACTTTAATCTTGAAAAGGGATGTTAATAAACAAGCCTGTTTGGATTCTATCAAATAATCTCCAGAGCCATTCTCTACGGCAGGTACTCATATATTCTCCCATTTACAAACATGGAAGCAGAGACAAAGTCATACAGTAAAAGGCAGAGCCAGGATTGGAATCTAGATCTATTCAGTGAAAAATCCATTCTTTTTACTAATATGTTTCACTGTCTTTTTGAGAAAGTAGCTCCAGGGCAGGCTTAAACAGAAAAACCCTGGGTTGTGCACACAGTGCTTACAAATCAAGAAGGATTGTACACATTGACCACTTGAGGAATGTAGAATGTCCAGAGAATTCTGGAGCTTTTAGGCTTCCATTTTTGGTTTGGAAAAATGTATGCTGAGTCCAAAGATAAGCATAATTTTAATGGGTATAAATTAAATTTTTTTTCCTAGAGATGTTTTACTGATTTGTATCCTACAAAAGTTTTCTTACACCCCTGCTCACCTTGGGTACCATCATTCATTTTGCTGTTCTGCCATATAAAAGCAAAGAGCAGTATAGTATCTTATTTATATTTTAACTTGTTTTTCATTAGTAGTGAAATTTCACATTTATTTCATGTACTTATTGGTCACTTGTATTATATCTTTGGGTTTTGCTCTGTCATGTTCATATTTGTGCATCACATGTGTAGCAAATACTTCTCCTGGTTTGTTGTTTGCCTTGTCTATGGTGCTGATGGAGTTGTTTACTTAGAGATGTTTAAAATACTTTATATAAATGAAATTCATCAATTTTGTCCTTTGCTCATTTTAGAAAGGCCTTTGCCATCCCAAGATTATATATATATTTTATGTTTTCCTTTTTGTATCAAAAATAGTTAATTTGTCTGTGATATATGAAAGTGTGAAACTAGGCCAGCAGTTCTCAACCTGTGGGTGGCAACCCACAGGAACTGCGTTAAAGGGCCATGGCATAGGAAGGTTGAGAACCACTAAACTAAGCTATTATAAT